ATTTCTCTCTTTTAGTAGACCTTGGGCCTTACGTTGCTGTAGTGTAAGATGGTCTCTGCAGTCTAATGAGCCAACTTAATCGTTACAGTATCTGTTAGTTTCAGATTCCAAAATGTTGATGTCTTGCTCTACTTTTTGAGTGCTCTTGCATAGACATTTGGACGTGTTTTGCCTTCTCATTGACTTCTTGATGGTTCGATCAGGTACCATTTTTGAATAAACTTAATATCTGGAAACAGAATGTCGTCACCGTATCCTGTTATTGATAATCGACCAATTGATCAGTTGAAGGTCACAGAGCTAAGAGAAGAGCTTAAGAGACGTAAGCTACCCATAAAGGGGTTGAAGCAAGAGTTGGTAAGGCGATTAGCAGAAGCAATCCTCCAAGAGCAGGATGCTGCTCATACTAAGTCAGAGAATGGTGGTGATTCCGCGCCTGGGCCAGACGAAGAAATGGCTGAATCTGTTGATGCAGATAATCCTAAGGATAATTTTGATGCTGATAATACGACAGATAAGGAAGCGGATGAGAAAATGAGCGAGGTTGATGCAGCTGAAAACAGAGTGCAATTGGATGAAGGGAAATTCTTAATTGAGGAGCCGGTTGGTGGTGCTATTTCTACTATGGTTGAAAAGGATCTGGTAGCCCAAATTGCGGATACGGAAACCAGTGCTCCAACCAAAGAGGACCAGATAGCTGAAGTTAGTGTTGTGCAAACCAGTGAACCTGTCAGTGTGAGTGTTGAGTCTGCCACAGCTTTAAGTGGACAAGACTTGCAAAAATATGAAACCCAGAATGGGAGTGGGGATTTAAAAGAGCAGCTGGAGTATCCCATTTCAAATTCTTTACTAGTGGAGGAAAATGTCAGTTTATCCATTCTGGAAAGTCAGGTATCTGAGATCAGCCCTGTTTTAGGGTTCCAAGTAAACTCTGATTTTGTTTCCACTGATGTCTCAATTGATGAAAAAATAGAACTGAAGGATAATGTAATAGCTAATGATGTCGAAGTAGAATTAGATGTTAAACCTGAGATGGTGCAGCTATTCTCGAGCAGTGATGTCACTGATGATGCAAAATCACATACTATGGATGTTGAAGAACCACATGACAAGAAAATGTCTACAGAAGAACCAGGCAACAAAAACGATAAATATCCTGAAGTTAGTGTTGTGCAAACCAGTGATCCTGTTGGTGTGGTTGTAGAATCTGACACGGCTTTAAGTGGACAAGACTCGCAAAAATATGAAACCCAGAATGAGAGTGAGGATATAAAAGAGCAGCTGGAGAATCACATTTCAATTTCTTCTGTGGATGAGGCAAAGGTCAGTTCATCCAATCTGGAAACTCAAGTATCTGAGCTCAGCCCTGTGTTAGGGTTTCAAGTAAAATCTGATTCTGTTTCCGCTGATGTCTCAATTGATGAAAAAATAGAACTGATGGATAACGTAATCGCTGATGATGTCAAAATAGAATTAGATGTTAAACCTGATAACGTGCAGCTATCATCAAGCAGTGTTGACCCTGGTGATGGAAAATCACAACCTATGGATGTTGAAGAGCCATATGACGAGAAAGTATCTGTAGAAGAACCAGGCAACGAAAACGATAAATATGTTGATATAATGAAGACTGATGGCAATGGGGATTCTGCAGAGAAGTTGCAATTAGACCGAAGTCCTGGTGATGATTCCACTGAGGAGGATGTTTCAGAGGGTAAATTAGGTTATTTTAAGTTGGACTCGGCGAAAAAAATAGATGGAAAGAAAGAAATTGAAGTGAACACGAGTACGGGGGTAGGATCTGTTGCTTCTCTGGATGATGCTAGGTCAGTTGCCCATATAGATACCAATGTTGAAGACAATGGTCCCGTTGTGAAGTCTGTGAAAAGAAAACCTCATTGTAAGTTTTCTGCAATAATTCGTTTCGCTATTCTTTACCACTTTGTTATGGCTTTACAGTTTTCTTTTGTGGATTCTGATTGCTAGTGTCACAAGAATCTTATTTGCTCTAATTTTACTGGCTGTTAGCGGATACTTAAGAGTGGAAAGGATGAGTGCAGAGTTTGGAGAAGCATTCCCTGTAGGCTTTATGCATATCCCAGTTGCTCCTTTTTCAAGGAATACTTTTGTATTGACATTTCATACCTCCCATGTCCTCTTATAGTGCAATTATTATGACTTAGCAATTTTCTCTTTTTGGATTCTGATTGCTAAAGTGTCACAAGAATCGTATTAGCTGTAATTTTGCTGGCTATTAGCAGATACTTTGAGTGTAAAGAATGAGTACAGAGATTGGAGAAACATTCGCTGTAGGCTTTATGCATATACCAGTTGCTCCTTTTTCAAGGAACACTTCTGTATTCACATTTCATTCCTCCCAATGTCTTCTGACAATGCAGTTCCGATTAAGTGCCATTTGCTATTTTATGCGAATCAAATAAATGACACTTATTGTTTACGTCATTGCTCTGGAAATTTCTTAGATCTGCCCCCAATCTTATCTTCTATGTATTGCTGTAGATCAAGGAACAGCAGCGGGGAGCAATGATACTGTAAAGAGGCAGCGTAAATGGAATTCAGAAGATCTTAAAATTCCTGAGAACAAGAAAGGTGATGCTGTGGCCTCAACTACCCCCAAGGATTTTTTCCAGCCCTCTTTCAGACGTAGTGTCTTTAGATCTGATTCAGTGGCAAAGGAGGAACCACCAAAAGAACGTGTGGGTGAGTTGCCACTTCTTTAATGGTGGAATGAGTATATTCTGGATGTATATGGTATGAATAATGTTATTATGTCGATTGTAACAGTTCCTCCATCATCGAAAGTGCCTACTAATTCTCTCTTGATCGAGAATTTTCTGCGGCCTTTCACCTTGAAAGCGGTGCAAGAGCTACTTAGCAAGACGGGCACAGTGACAAATTTCTGGATGGACGCTATTAAGACCCACTGCTTTGTTTCTGTAAGCACACTATTTTTGTGGTTTTCTCTCTTCCTCCTACAACATGTTTGTCTTGGAATTTTAACTTGCTGTCGAATTTGTGCAGTTTGCATCTGTAGAAGAAGCTGTAGAAACTCGGAATGCTGTATATAACCTGCAATGGCCTCCACATGGAGGAAAGCTACTTGTTGCTGAGTTTGTTGATCCCCAGGGGGTGAAAGATAAGGTTGAAGCACCATCTCAATCTCCCTCAACTCATGCAACTCCTGTGACCACAATCCCGGCTGCGGCCCCACCTTCTGCCCAGCCCCAACCATCACCAAGGCAACAGATGCAGAACAAGCAACTTCAATCTGAGAAACTTCCACCACCTCCACTTCCTGAGAAACTCGACCCTCCAATTGTCACTCTGGATGATCTTTTTAGAAAGACAAAGGCAACACCTCGCATTTACTATTTGCCTTTGTCTGATGAGCAAGTTGCAGAAAAATTGAAGGCACAAGGGAAGATTATCAAGCAGTAGAATTAGGCTATAATTTATCCTAAGCTCATCTTCGGTTTCTCATGGATCAGTCTTACACTATAAGATAATGGTAAGAGAGTATCATATTATTGCATCTTTGCAGGTCTGCAGGTCTTGCACGTAGGAAGCTCTGGTTTGGTTGCTGGAGAAGCTAGTTCGATGACAGTTGTCTTTTGCAAGTGTTACCTTGGCTCCGTGATAGCTTTTTCGTGCAAGGACATTCTTATAAAGCTCGTTGTGTTTCTTCAGCGAATCAGATCCCCAGTTCTTGGGAGCTTAGAATATTTGCATCTGTTGTCTCGTCGAATGGAAAACCTTGCGGAGTTATCTCTGGAACTATAATTACTGTGTAGTTCAGAGCAGAACCTTGGTTTCTGGGGTGTACTTTGTTAGAGTGCAGTCCTATTGATATAATTTGCTCAGATGTTCATGGATTCTTCTTGCTATTCACTACCTAGGCATCTGATTGCCTCTATTTGTCTACTTGTTATCAAACATGACTTCTATTGGTAGTCAGTAAAACAATCAACATGAGTTTGGTTTTAGTGGACTGAACTATTATTAGTCTTTTACTGCAATAATATCAGTTATGAATATGCTATGGGGCTTCTCAATCTAATTTTTTTTTAATAAATGCTATGCAGCTATGGGCTTTTACTTTATTTTTTTTGTAGAAGTAAAGAAGAGAACGGTATAAAGTACCTGTATCTATTCAAGTAATCTTATAAATTATCAGTACCAAGGGCGCTCAATTATATGAGATGATTTTTCATAAAACATATCAATAACTTTTCCCCCTCACGGCTTGGGCTTGGGGTAGGGGTGTCAATGAATCAGTTTCGCTGGTTAATTAAAGAAATTTATACCATACTATTTTAGTTACTTAATTGAGTATAACCTAAAGTAGACATGTTGAAATCAGTCATAAATCTCAGTTTCTCCTCGTTATTGATACGATTCAGTTAATTTTTAATATTTTGCACAGAAGTAACACAATTACTAGAGTATAAATTAAGAGTACTATAAGTTCGTTGAGTACTAATTTCACTACAAGAACTTGTATATATGCATGCTCAACCAAGATTTTGATTTACGAGCAAAGGCAAAAATACAGACTATGCACTCCAAACTCATTCTTTAACAAGAACCAAGATTGTGATATAAGTGGGGGAAAAAAAAATGAACATACTTCAGTGACTTGCTGCTTAATATACAACATATATTTACACATATAAATTTAATCGGATCTCTTTTGATATCTTCTCAATTCTTTTAAAAAATATAAAATTCTATCAAAATTATTCAATATGGTTATAGATTTATATCGTACCCTTTGATTTTACTAAATAACCTTATATTTAGTTCGACAAGGTTTTGGTTTGATTGATCTTTAAAAAACCATTAAAACCTTACTCACGGCTAAACAAAAGAAAAAAAAGAGAAGAAAATTCTTTAAAAACCAAAAAAAAAAAAAATGAAAATAAAAATAAACGGTAAGACAGTTCACCTAGCAGTAGTACGGTATAACAGGAAACCATATTTTCTGCTGCACTATGTATGATTGATGAAACCCAGAAATGAAAAATATTATAAAAATAAAATAGGCGCAGAAATAAGAATCTCCCTTGTGCGAGTAACTCTCTTCCCTCCCTCTTTTCTTCATTACGTTCCATTCTTTCACTCTGTTGCACTTACCCCAAACAAATCCTCCTTTGGGTTTTCTTTAGTCTTTCCTTTTTGTGGGGTTTGCCTAATTCAAAACCCTTGTTATCCCCCTTCAAACACCATTTTTTTTTTGCTTAATCTTGTGATTTGCCAATCTTGATTTGTCTTTCGTTAGAAAAAAGTTGGAAATTTTATTAGTTTTGGGGTAGTTTCTAGGGTTTTCTTCACTTTTTAAATGCAATTTACCAAGATTTGCTGTCAGTTTCTTCTCAGCATTTGCTCAATTGGATGGTTTTATCATAACCCATTTTGATTTCCTGGCTAATGATTGCAACTTTGTTTAAATTCTTGGTTTAAAGATTGCAACTTTGTTTAAATTCTTGGTTTAAAGATTGCAACTTTGTTCAAATTCTTAGCTTAAAAATTGGAACTTTGTAGTGGTGAAGAGGGAAGATGAATAGTGTTTTTAATGAGCAGATACTTGCAGACAAGCTTTCGAAGCTCAACAGCACTCAGCAGTGCATTGAAAGTATGTTTCTTTATCTTTTTTATATGTATTTCTGTTTTATATTGAACTTGCCTATTCTTTACCTCATTAATGGATATTGTTGGAACTCAATTTCGGGTGTGCCATTTAGGTCTTGGTAGTTCTTTTCTTGTGAATTGACTAAATTGAGTAAGAACTTGTACCTCCACTTCTCTTGAATGAATCTGATAAGTTCTTTTAGAGGTTCATTCGGAATGTTTAATGGCGATAGATGGGGTCTAATTTTTACTATTTAGTAACCTTTTGGTGTTGATTTCTGTATTTACTTGTATCTGTACATTGAACTAGGTTGAACTGGTAGTCCTTTCCCAAATTGATTGTCGTATTTTCTTATTGAGTCAACTTGGCCAGTTTTTGGAGTTAGATTGGATTTAGGCGACTTTTTTTTTCAGAAATAAAAGGCATGCCTAAAATAATAAGGGAAGTACTACAATTTGCGGATATTTAGTTTCAAAACGATGAAAAGATATTTTAAATGTTAGTCAAATATCATTTAGTTTAACTCTGAAGAAGTAAAATAAATAACCATTTTAGTATAGAGGCCATACTTTTTAGAAAAAAAAAGATGGGCGAAGATGGACTTGACCTCTGATCTGGAAAGATGTAATGGTAGCGCTGCTTAGATACATCCTTGCGTTTGCCATTGTCCATTGAGATTAGTGACAGTAGTTTTACTTAACTGACAGCATGTGCTTCAATTGCTTCGATCTTGCTGAGTTTTTGCTTTCACTTGTCTTTTGCTCTAAATAAGGTCCACAATTCGATCATTAAACAAAGTATTGATATGGATAAACTTGTGTTTTTATCATTTTGATATAGTTTTGATGTCTTGCTTCTCTGGGATCTTCGTTTGATTACATAGTGCCTGAGTGATGTTTAATTTAGAATTGTCGATGTGTGTGTAAGTTCACTCGGACACCACCATATTCACAAAAAAGAAGAGGAGATTATCCTTATTGACTGTTTCTTTATTGGTCATTATAATTCTTCATAAGTCATAACCCTTAGACCTTCCTTTTGGAAGTTTAATTGGTCATACTCATACATCCTTCTGTGTACTTTATTGTATTTTGGCATTTGTATGGTTAAGTTATCTCATTCAGTCTCTTCGGGAGGTTTTCAGTGTATTTCTGAGTTCTTAGCGGTAACTAGTTGACATTTTATACCAACTCTCACCTTACCTATATCAAAAATACGAATAAAAAAACTATAAAAAAAGGAAAAAGAAAAACCATACCTTTCTCCCACTCCATCTGGGTGGGAATAAGATTGCGTTTCTCCTAGAGGTCCATAAGTAGATTAACAATAGAAGGTTGAGTCTTCTGACCTACTTTTAACTTACTAAGAAATGTAGTACTAATGTAGTAATTTTGTCTGTACTAGTGATTACTATATCATAAAATACATATGCCATTGTTATAAGGTATCGTTTTAGGGTTGACATATGGAGTACTTCAAGCTTCTCACTTGCAATTTTAACACTTTTGCTGTCAATATGTGCAATGCTAGAATAGAAAATTAAACAAAAAGGGGTTTTCTGATGTCATTTGTGTTGCATCAATAAAACATTAGTTGCATATTGGCTGTGAGTTTTTTAAACCATCAGATGGGGTAATACTTGGAAATATTCTATTGCTTCTCCATTTGGACTCATATTCGTTTCCCTTTAAGTAACATCGTTTATCTTGGTTTTCTATGCAGCATTGTCCCATTGGTGCATCTTCCACCGAGATAAAGCAGAGCTAGTTGTTACAACATGGGGTAAACAGTTCCACAGTTCCGAAATGGCTCAGAAAGTCCCTCTACTGTACCTGGCAAATGACATCCTACAAAACAGCAAACGTAAAGGAAATGAGTTTGTCACCGAGTTTTGGAAGGTTCTTCCTTCAGCACTAAAGGAGATGGTCGAAAAAGGAGATGACCATGGAAAGAATGTAGTTTCCAGATTGGTATGCTTCCTTCCTTTTTTGCTTCTGAACTTTGACCTCGATAACGTTAACTTGTGGACGAACATGGCACAAATCAAAAGGCAAATATGCAGCCTACTTTAGCTCTTTTGTTTCAGTATCGAGCAATGAGATATAGTAGTTTGATTATCTTGCTTAAATGGTTTGTAGGTTAATATTTGGGAAGAAAGGAGAGTTTTTGGATCTCGAACGCAGAGCTTGAAGGATATAATGCTTGGAGAACAGCTGCCACCACCATTAGAGTTTGGAAGAAAGCGAAGTCGTTCTGTCAGAATAGTTAAAAGGGACTCACGGTCCATAAAAACGGTGACATGCTCCTCATAAGGCACTTTTGTTTATGTCCACTGATTGCTTAACGTTTGTCTCTTGCTTATTTTACTTTTACTTCTTGTTCTTACCATTGCTTTGTAACCAGAAATTGACCGTCGGAGGAACAGCTGAAAAAATAGTGTCAGCATTTCACTTGGTAATCAGCGAACATTCTACTGAAGACGAAGAAATGAACAGATGCAAGTCTGCTGTCCACCATGTTAGAAAGATGGAAAAGGATGTTGACATGGCCCTTACAAAAGGTATAATCTGGTTCTCTATTGGACTGCAAAGTTAACATGTCTGCACTGAATTGCTCCATTATGTTGATAATAACCTGCTGCCATTGCTACTTTGAATTTTGTAAACATCAACATGGAAAAAAATGATGATGAAGATATACTGAAGGTCATGATTTGGCGGAGTGAAATGCAATAATTGAAAGAAAAACAGTCATATCAATCTGAGTGTAAAAATACCATTTTTTTTTCATAACTTCCCAGAAAAAAGGATTAGATTATGTCCCAATAGGTTGAGGTATGGGAGTAATGTGGAGATTCCAAGTTCGAACTCCAACTACAACACTTGGTGTGCATCCATCTGCCCAAGCCGTGTGGACATGATACCATAGAAACCTGTACTTGCTGTCCGTATAGGCTGCCTGGTGGATAAGTCGAGCTACACGCAAGTTGGCCTAAACACCACCGAGATTAAAAAACAGGAATAAAGTTACAGGGGGCTGAGACCTTAAACAGAGTGATAGATTAGACATCTCTTTACATTCTTTTTCCTTTTCCCAAAAAGTTGTTACTTTTAAATTATCTACGGGAATTGAGTCATATTTTCTTGTGCAGCAAAAGATCCAAAGAGGAAAACCTTGTCGAAAGAACTGGAGGAGGAAGAAAATATTTTGAAACAGTGTATTGAGAAACTTAAAGTTGTTGAGGCAAACAGATTGACTCTTGTTTCACAGTTAAAAGAAGCACTAAATGAACAGGTAAGTGATAAATGCATTTGGTTTAGTCTTAGTGTTCTTGACAAATTTTCATGCTGTACTTATCGTCCAACTCATTGCTTCTTAATTTTGTCAGGAATCTGAACTAGAGAATGTTCGGACTCAGNTCAAATGTTTTAATGCCAGCACAGCCACTTAATCCTCCGCCTTATCAGTCAATGTTGGTTCCTCATCCCACAGTGCATAGTCAAATGCCAAATTCTCAGGGTCAATATCATTCACTTCCTAATCCAACACCCCAGCAGTATTTACAGCCATCGGCAGGAATGGTGAGCCCTTACGGTTATGGGAGTATTCCCGCCTTGCCGTCTGTACCACCTCCTCCAGCACCTCCATCGTATATGACTACAATGGTGCCTTTAACACAGCAACAATTGTCAATGGTGCAGCAGCAGCAGTCTTTAGCACAACAGCAACAAGTACCATTACCTCAGCAAGCTCTACCTCCTAATTTCCGTCCTTTGCAACCTCCTGGGATGGTGTACTATGCTCAACCGCATCATTCACAATGAGGAACTCTTCGTTTGACTGTCAAAATTCGTATAAGAAACAACAAATTTCGGGACATGAAGTGTTATATGCTAGAGAAGAGCGGCTGATAGTGCAGGTAATAGATTATCATTAGTGCTTAATTTTCCATCTTCAAGTCTGTTTAGAAATCTGTGATGTCTTTATCCGGTGTTGTCATAGTTGTTCCTTGGCAATTCCCAC